AACCTAATTAACCTAGTTAGGCCTTTAAATGACACTTTAAAATGTATAGAAGTGTCTATACATGGCAAAGATAAAATAAATGAGTTATTAAAACTATTATGTTTAGAAATGTGTTGAAAAAAAATCTTCTCTTCATTAAACAGAAATTGGGGGGAAAGGGGGCTAATAATTCAGGGGGGCTAATAATTCTGACTTCAACTGTATACTTGCAAAATAAAAGAAAGTTTTGCAAACAAAAATAAAGTATTGAGCCAAAATAAATAAATAAATAAATGTAAATCTCCCAAAATCGCAAGGCAAAAAATTATTTTTGAGAAATAAAAAATATTTTTGGTAACCAAAATTAAGAACTGCCTAAGGGAATATTAAGTTTTGTAAAATAAAATTTGCAAAAAAAAAAAAAAAAAAGAATAGAAACAACTGCAAATAAAAATCAAGCAGAGCAAATAAAAAAAAAATATATTAGCAATTAAAAAAAGAAAATGATATATTTGCAAAACATTTTCATAGCATTGCCTTAAAGAAAACAGCCCAGTCAATTGCAATTCTCATTTTGATTTGCTTTTTAGTCAACCATGAGTTTGGGATGCTGTTTTTGCTTTGCACTTCTTGTTTCTGCACATTTGACAAGGGAGTAATGAGTACAAAGGAGTAAATGAAACTTGGCCGTTTACAGCAGGCCCCTTGACTCCGCCCCCTTGTCAAATCAGGGCCACAAAGTGAAACGCGCAGAAACGTGAAGTGCAAAGTGAAAACAGCATCACAAACTCAAGATTGAATAAATGCAAATATTTTAGTTTATTTTTGCTCTGCTTGTTTTTTTTATTTGCAGCTCTTTTTTTTGTTTGCAAATTTCATTTTTACTTTTCAAAACTTCATTTTCCCTTTACACTCCTTTACTATTGTTAGCAAAATTAATCCTTGCTTCTAAAAAATAAATGTTTGCTTTGCAGTTTTTAAAGATTTGCATTAATTAATTTATTTTTTCAATACTTTATTTTTCGTTTGCAAAACTTTCTTTTATTTTGCAAGTATATACGGCCCTAGATTGTCTCCATATAATACAAGCGTGTTATTAAACTTTTAAACTTCTGATGATGCGAACAAGCTAAAAATAACATTAATCCTGCCAACACACACACACACACACACACACACACACACACACACACACACACACACACACACACACACACACACACACACAAAGAACATTTTAAAACATTTTCCACAAACCAAAACACACACCAACAGAACTGATGTGCATTTGTAATGCGAAGCATATGGTAACACTTTACAGTAAGGTCCCATTGGTCAATGCATTAATGAGCAATACAGTAATTTATTAATCTTTGTTAAAGTCAGTCAATATAAATACTCCTTAAGTCAGCTCAGCTGGGTTTAATTATCATCAGATACATTTCTACTATTTTAATAACGTATCAATAAATGCTAAAGTTAGCATTAACAAAGATGAAATGCTTCAGAAGTATGTTAGTTGTTTATTTATAGACTAAAGATGTTAACAAATGGAACCTTACTGTAAATTGTTACTGTAATAGGCCGTTCACATGAATGGATTCTTGTTTGTTTTTAATGCATTATGAATGTAATTTCAATTTATAAAATAAAAAATGAGTTTTGTAATCTACAAAATGCACCAATCATGCATTAAACTGTAGGCCGTGTGATGTGGAGATGTTCATCAAGCACTTTTACAAATGGACTGATAAAAAAACAGCACAAATGAAGAATGGAATGGGAAATATTAGAATAATTTTGCTTAAAAAATAATTTTTAGCTACTTGTTGTGGAAGCTAAACCCCTTCTAATGCACAACACGGGTCTAAAATGACTCAGATTCACTTCCTATGCCATTTAAATAATGATTTCTTTGCTCAAACTTTGAAATAAATCTAGTTGATCATTTTTTTTTGCTAAGTTTTTCCCCAGATCATTGTTTATATCTCTGTCTTACTGTGAACACAGGCTCATTGTGGATACGTACCCTAGTCTACATTTCTGCAGAGCGCAAAATATATACTACGAGGTATGTTTGGCTTCATTTCGTCTGTAAAAAAATGAATGCTAGGGGAGGGTAGGATGCCTTTATTTGAGGCAGCGACTGACTGATTATCTCCGTGTGGAAAGCTTTTCTGGTGTCAACAATTTGGCTGGTGGCTCACTGCGTTGGAAGGAGTTCAAGTCCAGTGAGGAACGGTTCCGGAAACCAGGTAACACATTATATCTTTCATTCATTTATTTTCCTTTGGCTTATTCCCTTTATTCATCAGGTATCACTACAGCGGAATGAACCCCTAACTATTCCAGCTTATGTTTTGCAAAGCGGCTGCCCTTCCCTGCAACCCAGTACTGGGAAACACCAATACACACTCATTCACGCTCATACACTACAGTCAACTTAGTCCATCAATTACCCTATAACGCATGTGTTTGGACTGTAGGGGAAACCAGAGCACCCAGAGGAAACCCACGCCAACACGGGGAGAACATGCAAACTCCACAGGGAAATGACAACTGACCCAGCCAGAACTTGAACCAGTGACCTTCTTGCAGTGAGGCTACAGTGCTAACCACTGAGCCACTGTGTCACCCCAGGTAAAACAAAATCAAATAAATAAACAACATGGCCATAAGATCCTTGGACCCGGGGCTCCCTCCTGTTAGCAGGGCGAGAAGAGAGTTTGAGCTCAGGTAGATTTGGAGAACTCCCCTGCTGTAGTAGCTATAGAACAGATAGTGATTGCTCTTAAGAGATAACTACTAACAAGGAGCATGTCTATGGTGGTGATTTGGATTAGTCGATTAACTTAAGTTGCATGTTTTTGGACGGAGGGAGGAAACCAGGGAACCAGGGGGAAACCCATGTGAGCATGCGGAGAACGTGTAAACTCTGGTTCTAGTCCTTAGCCAGCCAGTTGACGTTTCTGTGCAGTGATGTTCTTGCTGTGAGGCAACAGCGCTCACCACTGGGCCACCGTGCCACACATCTAGGAAAGGAGGAGGAGGAGTAGGGGTGGAAGGGGGGATTCTTCAAAACGAAGATGGCTGTGATATGGAACTGAGGGTATTTACTGTGGCTTAGGAATCGTCTGATTGGTGAATCATAAATTGGATAATGCGGGACCACCTGCAAGCAATCATAAGCACATGATCCTCTTGCAATTAGTTTATAAATACACTTCAAGTAAGAACTCGCTTGGCAGCATTCTAAAAGCAAGCGGGATGATATTTACATGAGTTTATTTGCTACAAATGCTCATGTTGTTCAGTGCATGTACTTGAGTTTTATTCGATATATTCAAAGAGAGTATTTTCTATGAGCAGGTCAAATTAAAGGTACAGTCAGGGCCGGCGTGTCCATAGAGGCAACCTAGGCGGCCGTCTAGGGCGGCAGAATAGAGAGGGCGGCGTCCCCAACACTACCCTCACCTCTCGTGCCCTTAGTTATATCCGCGTCTAGGGCGGCGTGACCGTCCTTTGCCAAGAGCGGCTATTCAGCTTGCTTCGGCCCTGGGTGCAGTACTATATCTGACTGCTTGTATTAAAGAACAAAATTGTATAACAAATAATATATAATTATACTTTTTAATTCAAGAATTATTGTGCTGCTAAGCAAAATATCAAATTGTTTATGGAAAGCATCGTCAATGCAGAACCGAACTGATGGCATGATAATCATAACTGAACCGTGAGACCAGTGTAGGTTCAAACCCCTAAAGAAGAGCTTGCGCAGAAGACATCTGAGATGGTCAAAAAGCACACAGCGGGGAAACATACCTAAGAGTACTTTTTTTTTTTTTTTTTTGAGTTCTCCAGAAATGCAGATTGGGGTACGTTTCCACAATGCATAAACAATATTTGAAACTTTTAATATTCACAAACTTTGGCACAGAAATCTGTATTAAAAAGTAATAAAGGAGAAATTAAAATGGAGCTCTGGATGGTGCATTTAATTTCTCACAAACTCATTCAGCTCACTTTAGATCCACATCAAAATGTTAAAATCAGCACATAATGCTTGAGTAAAGCTGAAAAAAGCAGCAAAACCCAGAACAACGACAACAATCAAACATGTTTACATACACAAATGAAGAAAGATGATTCAGCCGAATGCAAAAATACAGTCTGAAATAAACCTACGAGAAATTAAACCCAGTCATTCAGAATTATTCAGCAAAACTGCAGTCTTCGGTTTAAGGGGAATGTGATGCAAACTCACTGGTATGAATAACACTGCTTTGAAAACATTCTTAACATGACAAAGTCTGACGGTATGGATGAATTAAACCATTATTATATGCATAACACTGCACCGGTACCACATGTCATTGGCTTTGCTGTTAACATTAGATCAATAATACCTCTTTAATAGCTGTGATCTTTGGCATGCTTTGCCAAACTGTACCAAAGTTCAAAGCCAATAATAAATTGCAGTTCACACACTCAGCATTCAACACACTCAAGCTGGAGGACGCAAAAACAAAAACATTTCTTGTAAATAGCACTGAAAGTCACCTTTAATTCTGCATGCAACGGGTCTCTTCACGTCTTTGACAGGATTAATGTACAAAATAGAATAAAAAAATGTGAACTGAAGTATCACAACACAAATATATCTGTGCAACACGTTTGTATTCAACATTAATAGGTCCCTTTAGGTTATTGGAGGGCATTCAAGCTGCTTTAAGTTCCCTTAGAAGTGCGCATGTCTGCTGAGTTCACTTGCTGAAGTGCTGAATTAACAGTCCTGAGTGACAAGTGAATGCACTTCAATTCATACCTCTGATATGTAAAAATAAAAGCTCTGGGACGCGTGCCGATTCCCATTCAGGCCCTGGAAGGTGACAGCACAGCCTCTTTTTCACAGGATTCCTGCTATCACCAAACAATGCTGCATTATTTGCATGCCGGAGCTGCAAAGCACGTACACTGAAAAAGTCTTGTGCATGAATGCAGCGCTTCTGGCAATATTTTGAAGAGGACTATGAGAAGTCGGCTGGTCGGATCATCATGACGGTGGAGCGCAGAGAGTAACTGGGCCCTTTGAAATAGTGCCATTTGATTCCATTAAATTTTCCGACATGCTGTCCTTGTCTGTAATACACACCGTTCAGGTTGGATGGCCCGCAGGCGTCGTACCACCAGCCTAAAATACAAAAACATGCACAGCTGTGTTAAGAGCAATTCAGACCAAGGAGAAAAAATAGAACAAAATATCTTATTGTGCATAATATTGCAAAAATAAATATAAAAATAATACAAAATATATGAATAAACAAAGAAACCAAATATAAAATACATTAAAATAATAAATAAATGAAATGTTTGTATTGATTTTAAGCATGCAAGGCAGTTAAAGATGAAAAGTGGTTTATATGAGGCAAAAATATTTTTTTGTCAGCATATTTATAGCAAGAAGAATTAATAAAACAAAAATATTATTGTGTATGCTGTTGCAAAACAACAACAATCAAAAACTATGCACAATGAATAAATAAAAAAACAAATACAAATGTAAAATAAACAAAAATAATTATATTTTTTCAGGAATTGATTTTAAGCAAGTTCAAAGACAAAAAGTGGTGTATGCGAGTTAAAATATCTTTATTTTTCAGCATATTTATAACAGGAAGAAATAATAAAACCAAATATATTTTTGTGTATACCATCAACAAAAAAGAACTGCAAATAAAATATATAAACAAACAAATACAAATATTTATAAATAAATAATAATAATACAAATTTAAAAACTAAATAAATTGTATTTAAGTATTAAGCATAATCATAACAATAAGAAATAATACAATAAAATATATATTTTTGTGCATACTATTGCAAATAAAATCAAAGTAAATTAATAAACAAATAAATAACAAATAAATAAATAATGAATACTGTAAATATTTAAGTATTGGCTATGCATGCAGGGCAGTTCAAAGACAAAAAGTGGTGTATATCAGTCAAAAATACTTTATTATAGCATATTTATAACAAGAAGAAATAATTTAATAAAATATATTATTTGTGTATACAGCTGCAAAAAACAAATAAAAAATTTAACAAAGAAATGATAAAATAATAAATAAGTGAATAATTAAACTGTATCACGTATTAATTTAAAGCTTGCATGGCAGTTAAAAGACAAAAAGCTGGTATGAGTAAAAAAAATTATTTAATACAGCATATTATAATAATTAATAAACAAACAATATTAATTATAAACAAGAATAATTATAAACATGAAAAAAAAATAGAACAAAAAATATTGTGTATACTGCAAAATAAATAAACAAACAGGCAAATAAAAACATATTATAATAAATACAATAATAATAAATAGTATTTAAGTATTGAATTTAAGTATGCCAACAGTTCAAGACAGAAAAGGGATGTATTTAAGCATATTGGTTCTGGGTTTATTCTGGGTCCAGTTCTGGGTGTGTTTTGAGCATAACATGCATTAAACCAACCAGAGTCTCAGCTCACATTCCCTTTAAGAGTCAGTTGCATCATGCCATGGCAAATTTGCTATACATGGCGAACTTTGTAAGTGTAAAAACTGAACGCTTCACTAGCAAGAAAACAGTTAAACAGAGCATCTGCAGCGCGAGGATAAAGAAGGAGCCTCCTCCATTCAGCCTCTTTACATTTACTCTTTACTCCTTTACTTCGCTGTAAGTAAGGAAACAGTGGAAACTCACTCCACTGAAGACATCCATTAGCCTACATATTTAATTTAGTTTGTTTAGAGCAAGGATTTGTGTCAAAACCATTTCTAAATTCAGTTCTAATCTCCAGCAAAGGAATAAACGAACAATAATAACGAAGTGTGGTCAGAAAACTGAGTTACATCCAAACACACGTCCTGTTCTCATCCACATATGGCGATGCAGACGTCTCCAAAACCCCACAGGTGGACAAATCTAAACTTGTTTTTAATAAAACAAATATAAATATGCTTATAATAAATAATACTGCTAATACTGCCGTAACACACCTCCTTTTCAGACCAGCACACCCATGAGTCAACAAAGAGGTGCAAATAGATTAAACAACACGCCGCAAACGTGAAAATTACTGTTGCACTGGTCTGAAAATAGCAACAAATCCCACCATGCACTCCTTGTGCCTCATTGTGTATGATAGGGCCCAAAGTGTGTCTTGTTTTTACAGAAACACATTACACTGAATGACAATGGCAACCCTATTTCACTTTGCTATTTAACAGTAATTTGAAACATTTCACTGGCATTACATGCGTATATATAAAATTACTTTTGTCAATTTAATTTGATGCAGACACTAAAATGGGACGTCTCGTCTTAAATCCTCATAAAATTCATATTTTTATAAGAGCGCAATAAATTACAGCCATTTTAATTGCTTTCCTCATAAAAACCACATCAACCACAATGCATAAAATACTCCTGCTGGCAGGCTGAGCTGGGTTTTACGTGTAGTAGATGTACAGTCTACTGGTGTGATGCTATTTAGGTTTCTAATGTTGTATGAGCAACCATTTCTAATGCTGACTGTTGTGTTATGCATTCATCAGCTTATTTAGACCACTTTAAAGCTGATCCAACAGTATGCAGGTGTAATGTGCTCAATGTGGAGTGAGGAGAGATGGGGAGGAGTGATGTGCAAACAAAAGTATATATATATATATACACAAAATTATTCACCCTCCTGTGAAATATTTATTCTTTTATTTTCTCAAATGATGTTAAACAGATTAAGGAATTGTTTACAGTATTTTCTATATTATTTTTTCTTCTGGAGAAAGTCTTATTTGTTTTATTTCGGCAAGAATAAAATCAGTTTTTAATTTTTTTAACAGCATTTTAAGGTCAATATTATTAGCACCCTTCAGCAATATTAGTTTTGGATTGTCTCCAGAACAAACCACTGTTATACAATGACTTGCCTAATTACCCTAACTTTACCCTATAGTTAAGCCTTTAAATATCACTTTTAGCTGAATATTATTTACTGTCATCATGGCAAAGATAAAATAAATCTGTTATTGGAAATGAGTTATTACACCTATTATGATTAGAAATGTGCTAAAAAAAATCTTCTTTTTGTTTTTATTCAGGAAAACATATATAGGGGAGGGGGTGGTTGGGGTGGTTAATAATTCAGAAGGCCTAATAATTCTGACTTCATTTATTATTTCTTTGAAATGGACATTACAATTACACTGGACAACCAAATGCAATTGTTGAAGTGTTTTAGAAAACTTGCTAATTCTCAACACCTGCCCACACGAGGCTTAAACATGACAAAATGGAAATATAATAAAAACATAAACACAACATTATAATTCATTACATAAACTTACTGGAAGGCAAAAGCAAAGATGACATGATCCAACCAACTAGACCAGGGGTCACCAATCTCGGTCCTGGAGGGCCGGTGTACCTGCAGGATTTAGCTTCAACTTGCCTCAACGCACCTGCTTGGATGTTTCGAGTATACCAAGTAAGACCTTGATTAGCTTGTTCAGGTGTATTTGATTAGGGTTGGAGCTAAAATCTCCAGGACACCGGCCCTCCAGGAACAAGTTTGGTGACCCCTGAACTAGACTATTTGTGCAAACACTGCTGTTTTGTTCTTAACCACTTTTTAAGAGCACTACTAAAAATATTTAGATTACTTTCTGATTTTAAGCTAACCGGTAAATCAGTCCACAGTTTGCCTCCCTTTACAGAGAAGACAGATTGACCAAATGAGGTCTTACTCTTTGGCACTAGAAAGTCACCATTAGCAGTTGCCCGTGTAACTCTTTGAGAGGTTTGATGCCGACTGATTAGATCAGAAAACAGGACTGGGACAAGATTAATTAAACATTTAAAAAACAATTTAATATAATTAAATTTAATAAAACTATCAAAACTAAAAAGGTTATGTTTACATAAAACTTCACAATGATGCCATCGCATAGGCTTTAAGTCCATAAGTTTAACTGCTTGTTTATATATCGAGACAACAGGCATCAATGTACAATGTAGTTAATTCCTCCTTCACCTATATATATATATATATATATATATATATATATATTAGGGGTGTAACGGATCACAGTTGATCCGTGATTTGTACGGACCACACCCCACGGTTCGGAACACACGTGATCCGCGGATTAATAACTTTTATGAACTTGTAGATCAATCTAACGTTTATAACAATTGCAGAGTGATCGCCTCAAATCACGGCCTTGAATTCCCGAGTTTGAAAGCATTTTTTGCTTCCCTGTAGCCACAATATAACAATGACGGAAAAAGTTGTCATCTAAATGCTTTCTTGGGTTATTAATTAAAGCTGTTCTCTGTTGTTGTTCGTTTAGCCTGCATTAATGTGTTCGGTGTAAAGCTGCACAATTAAAAATGAAACGATCAGGATCTTAATTTAAACTCGATTAACATGAACAATAAATGATAAAAATGATTTGCATGTGTTTATTAATCCTTTAAAGCGCTACAAATCTGCGTTTGATCAAGAGACATTCAGTTTTTACACTTTTTTAGTGAGTTACAAACAATTAAATAACAGAAGTACTGGGAGAACTGTTTATAGCTCTGATATAAACGCTGATGGTTATGGTAAAGATTAAAATCTCTGTTTAATGAACTTGACACGATTTCATTGGTGAAAGCGATTACATTGTGTAACCAATAGGAGGCGACAAACAACCATCAAGATGATGTCCTTGAATAGGTTGTCAAAAATGAACCACCTATAATAAAACATGGAGATTTATGTGTGAAGTGTTGAATCATTAAGTGAAAATTAATACAAGATTATCAGAAACAGTTCATTGTTCGTATTGAATATTTTCCTTTTTTTTCAGCTGGTTCTTTCTAGATGGTTCGAAGTTCTGTTTGTTTAAACCAATGGTTTTGCAGTAATATGTTTGTACAAATAGAAAGCAAATGATATTTGTGTCCTCCCTTTTTTTGCTGATCCAAAAAATAGTCTGATCCGGGACTCAAAAACCGTAGTGTGATCAGAACTGTGAGATTTGTGATCCGTTACACCACTAATATATATCCAAGTATATATTATAGTCTAGAAAAGTTAATTTGATTCAATTAAAAAAAGGCAGAAACACAGTGTATATATTATACAAAGAATTGCCGC